ACCATAAAGTGAGGTATCTGGACTTATTAATATTATATATATACTATAAACCGAGGAATCTGATCTTAGTAATATAATATTTATAGCATGAAACGTGGAGGCTGGATTTATTAATATCATATCAATATATATAAATATAACTAATTATGTATATACCATAAACCGAGGAATCTGGTATTAGAAATATTATATATATACCATAAACGGAGAAATCTGGACGTATTAATATTATATATATATATACCATAAACCGAAGAAGCTGGACTTATCAATATGATATAAATATATATATATATATTTAATTATTTTTCTGCCTTAAACCGAGGAATCTGGGCTTATTAATATTATATATTTAATAGAGTAGTTCAATCTTAAAATCGAGTTAGGCCAGCGTCTATAAGTACCGTCGACGATAGGCTTATTTCACAAATTTGCATCCACTAGACATGATTTGCGCTAGTCCGCTATCGTGGTCAATATTGTCGACTATTTATGATGTTTTCACCCACAAACCTTCACAGGCGGTTTAGTGTTTAGCTAACCTCTTCTGGGCGAATGAGCAGATCTGCTCGACACAGACATCTCTGCATGTGCACAGCATTCTGTATCATAATTGTCTATAAAAAGAGTTGGGGAGCTCTCGAAATGTAAACATGACTAAGCTCAACATGTATTCATCGAAGTCACAGCAAAGTGAGACGAGGATGACTTTGCAAAATCCAACAATTTTCACTTCAAGGCTATGAACTTCATTGAGGCCAATTGACGAATCTCTTCAAACCCATCTCCGCTTCGATACCACCCAATACCAACAGTAATAGATGAACATTTGTACACTTACGCAGCCATCTCCTCACTGCCCCATGCGTCGAAGCTCTGCAGATAGGAAATGGACTCTTTGGACAGCGCAGACTGTGTGACAACTCCGGCCTCCCCAGCACACCTGCAGGCAGGATAGACGAGGCAAATGAGCGTAATGGAAAAGTGGTAGGGGAAGTTGAAAAGAGAAGTGGATAGGAGAAGTGGATAGGAGAGGAGAGGAGAGGAGAAGAGAAGAGAAGAGTAAACCAATCAGCAAGCAGGTGGAGAGACTGAGGAAAGCAGAATGAGTGAAGATAGGCTGATTGCTAAAAACAACCGTAAATCTTCCACTTTTGACAAATCTTTTTTCTTGCCTTAACCTGACAGTATGGCCACCCGACTAGACTCGTTATTGCACAAGTTGGTGCCTGACCGACCAGAAAGACGTCTCCTGACCTCTGCTCCGTAGTTAAGCTCGAGTGTGGTTGGCACCTTCTGCAGCTGAATGGGCAGCATCAACCTAAAAGTTTTACATTATCATGTCTGCTTTACAAAAGTGAAAGCTGTCTGTACCAAGTGGCTACACAAAGATTATAAATCTTATTATAGCATCAAATATATTCATATAATTATTTATTTATTTTATATTTTATATTATATAAATATGTATATATAAAAGGTTGTAAAACTTTATCAAGGATCCGCTAATATTGTTTGAAGCCAGACAAGAATGTTTCCCATTGGCAACTCTCAACCTTGAACATGAATGCGAAGAAAAGTTGGGTTTCGAGCTTACTTCCATTTCGGTTGAAAGTGTTGGGTGAAGATATTCGAAGGTCGGTTCCACCAAAAAGACGACGGCGGATTCCTCTTGACCAGCTGTCGATTGGCTTTACTGGAACATTCACGCTGACACTGTTTCCGAGGCAATCTCGCTCGATTTCGGTGAAAATGTGCTAAGCTTTCGTCCGTCATGTGACGAACATCATCTTAGCAAGGAGGGTACCATCTTCACAACCAAAGTCAAGCTAACGATTCAAAAAAACTCACCGACAAATCCCTAAAAAGTGGTATATATACTCTACATCTGGCCTCTTTAATCAGCTATCAAGTTGTTTGGTTGGTTACGATCATATGTCAACCTCGAAGCCTGTGAGTGTGTCTGTCTCTGTATGTGTATGTGCCTGTTTGTGTTCGCTTACGCACGAAGCCTGTAGTGATTGCTGTCCTAATTACTTTGAGTCATCGTTGCGGGTTTCGTGCATTAGAGAACACAAACAGGCACATACACATACAGAGACAGACACACTCACAGGCTTCGAGATTGAAATATGACCGTAACTAACCAAATCATTTAATACTTGATCAAAGAGGCCAGATGTAGGGTATAGATATCACTTTTTAGGGATTTGCCGGTGAGTTTTCTTGATTCGTAAGCTTGAATTTGGTTGTGACGATGGTACCCTCCTTGCTCTGATGATGATTCTTCAAATGACGGACGAAAGCTTAGCACATTTTCACAGAAATCGAAT